CACATCCTCACAGGGCAGTGAGGACCAGCACATCCTCACAGGGCAGTGAGGACCAGCACATCCTCACAGGGCAGTGAGGACCAGCACATTGTCACAGGGCTGGACCTGGGGCCCCTGGTGCAAAGCAGATGGAGGTAGCTGCTGGTGGGGCTCCAGCCACAGCTGGGCACAGGAGCTGCTCCTGTTCTCCAGGAGTGGGGTAGGAGCTGCCAAAGCGCTTCCAGGGAACCCCCCTCCGCTTAACCTGCAGTTCCTGAAGCTAAGGAACAATCCCCTCCCATGCATCAGGAATGGTGAACAGGATTTGGGCAGAGATCATCGTTATCCTCATAAGGATCATGGCTCAGCAAAACTTCCACAGCCCATGAAGAACTCTGTCATGTTTTTACCTCTAGGACAATAAGATAAATTGTTCCTTAAATACCCGTGACATTCACCTCTGGAATGCTGTGGACTGAACATCAGCTCCTGCTGAAAGCTATCAACGTGTCATTCCCTTTCAATGCTCCCCCCAGCCCACCAGCCCTGGATCAATGCATTAACAGCATTAAACACAAGAGATGGAGCTGTGGGATCCCAGCAGGTGAGATCCCAGCTCGGGAAGGAAACCCCACTCACTGCATGGGGAGGCGAGGGCTGTGTGCGCTGCTCTGACAGCGATGCTGCAGCATCCCAGATGCACACCAAGAGGAGGAACCACCTCCTCACTGAGAGCAGCTCTGCTGCAAACCTGGACCCCTTCCAGCCACTGCTGAGCTGCTCCAGGAGCTGTGCTCTTCCCTGAAGCAGATGAGCTGCCCTGGCACCAGCTCAAAGCCCCCCGGGCTGCTCCTCAGTGAGAAGCTGCTCCAGCACAGCCCCAGCAGCACCGCTCCCCTCCACCAGGGACCGTGCCAGCCTCAACCTTCTCTAGGAACGCTTCAGCTGGGGCTTGGCAGCGTTTCCCCAGTGCACGCAGGTCCTGTGGCCAGCCTGGAGGTGCAGCAGCCCAGGCCAGGGGCTCTGCAGTGAGCAGAAGGGACACTGGGGCTGGACCAGGGACCAGCAGCATCTTCCCCCCTGCAGCACCAGGAAACCCAGCCCGGAGCCAACCTGGCAAAGCCAGTACTGGAAGGCACCAGTGGACGCATGGATGGTACATGTCGGGTACAGGGACATGACCTGGGCGAGGGATGGCCAGAATGGGGTGATGGATGCAGGGGGTGGCTCACCAGGGACACTGATGGTGACAGGAGAAGGAGGAATGGCTTGAACCTGCCCGAGGGGAGACTGAGCTGAGCTCTTAGGCAGAAGCTCTTCCCTGTGAGGGTGCTGAGGCGCTGGCACAGGGTGCCCAGAGAAGCTGTGGCTGCCCCATCCCTGGCAGTGCTCAAGGCCAGGTTGGACACAGGGGCTTGGAGCAAGCTGCTCCAGTGGAAGGGGTCCCTGCCCGTGGTAAGGGGCTGGGACTGGAGGAGCTTTAAGGTCCCTTCCTTGAGGGCTTTATGGTGACAGCTAAAACACACTTGGGCCTGCCTGCATGGGGAGGGACAGGACCCTGCTCCAAGCCCTCAGCTGACATTCAAGCCCTGCTCCCCTCATGTTCCCAGCACAGATCCATCACCAATGATCCATCACCAACGGCTTCCAGCAGTGTTTGCAGAACATTCCCTTGTAAATTCCACACTAAAGGAATAAACAAGATGAACCCTGGCCCCGTTTCCATCCCGGATGGAATATCACAACATCCTCTTCCTAAGGAGCCGCTGCTGGCAGGCTGCTGCACACACGGAGCTTTGCATGGCTCTCCCTTCACTTCACACCCGTCGGAGGCTGCCAGGCTGCCCTGCTGGGGGGGCGGTTTCCACCACCCACACCTATTCCACCTTTGTTCTCCTTTATTGCTTCCTCGGCTGCTGCTGCTCCCGCTCTGCCCAGCACGGGCCCAGCGCAGCTCCAGCCCCGCAGCTCCAGCCCCGCAGCTCCAGCCCCGCAGCTCCAGCCCCGCAGCCCAGGCAGGTGCAGGTGCAGCACAGGGCAGTCCCTGCCAGCCCCACCTCGAGCTGAGCCATCTCCAGTGCCCCCAGCTCCGCAGCGCTGGACAAGCAGCAGCAGCTTCCATTGCAGACAAGGGGAGAAGGAAACACAAAGGAGAACGGGGCCTGGGTGTGAAGTTTGCTTCCTAGGAGCTTTCATTGTGAGATCCAGGATAACCAGAAGGAGTCAAGTGCTCGTTCCTGGGAAGGAACATGCAGGAACTGCCGGGGTTTCAATTCAGCCAAGCTGGCTTTTTCTCCCAAGGAAGGCACCCCTGAGCACAGGAGTAATCTGCCTGAATTGCTTCATGAAACTCATAGAACCCCAGCCTGGTTTGTGCTTGAAGGGACCTTAAAGCTCATCCTGTTCCAACCCCTGCCCCGGGCAGGGACCCCTTCCACTGGAGCAGCTTGCTCCAAGCCCCTGTGTCCAACCTGGCCTTGAGCACTGCCAGGGATGGGGCAGCCACAGCTTCTCTGGGCACCCTGTGCCAGCGCCTCAGCACCCTCACAGGGAAGAGCTTCTGCCTAAGAGCTCAGCTCAGGCTCCCCTCGGGCAGGTTCAAGCCATTCCCCTTGGCCTGGCCCTACAGGCCCTTGTCCCAAGCCCCTCTCCAGCTTTCCTGCAGCCCCTTTAGGCACTGGATCTGCTCTCAGGTCTCTCTGAAGCCCTCTCTTCTCCAGGCTGCACAAACCCTGCACATGGGAGCCACATCCCACCGGCAGCAGCTTCACTCTCTGGGCAGCACAGACCAGGAGACCACCTGCACCGAGCAGCTGAGCAGAGCTGCAGCAGGAACTCATCCAGAAGCACTAAATCCATCACTGCTCTGAGCTGCTTCAAAGGTCACCGAGCACTTCCCGACCGTGCCGATTGCTCCGGGCTGCTGAAAGCGGCTGTTTCGCAACCCCTTCCTTAAGGAATCAGGTTTGGATAAACAACCTCTCACCACACACCAGAGTGAGCTGGAGACAAACCACTGCGAGCATAAAACAGCGAGTATCCCCTCCTGCAAGGCATCGAACTGCAGCGCACACTGAAAGCCTGTCTCTTGCCCCAATCCCCCATGGAAGCTGCTCAGTCTGTGACAACCTGAGCTCCCTGCTCTGTGATCTGAGCAACCCCAACCAGGACGTTCCCTGCATCACTGAGCACTTGGATCAGTGCAAGCTCGAGATGTTCCTGCCCCAGTGCCACCGGAGCCGTGCGGCTCGAGGAGCTCCTCAGACACGGAGCAGGGCCCCCGAGCCCCAACTGCAGGCACCCATTCACTGCCCACTTACAGAGCACCCCAGACCTGCCTGAAAGCTCCCCCCCCCGGGCTGGGGAGCAGTGAGAGCAGCTCTGGCTGCGATGCCTTTGCCACCCCTGTGCACACCACTGAGAGCAGAGAGTGAGTGAGGCCGGGTGGGAAGCCAGAAGCAAACCGTGCCTGGAGGGAGGGATGTGGGGATGTGCTTCGGACCCTGAGGCAGAAGGGGCCGGTTGTACAACCCGGGCTGCTCACCCACCCAGCTCACAGAGCCCCACAGAGCTGCGTTAGGAGGGACCTCCAGGATCAGCCGGTTCCAACCCGTGTCTGTGCCAAGCCTCCTAAGTTGCACTGGGTTCATTGTGTGCGGCCAGGATTTACCTCATTGCCCCCTCTCCCAGGAATGTGAACACGGACTGAAAACAAGGAAGGTGCCAGAACAGGGGGCTTAAACCCAACAAAGTAAATGGGAGAAATCGTTTATCTCTGAGGGAGCTGGGCTTGTTCACAGCCTGGTTTGGGTTGGGATGAAGGGACCTTAAAACTCCTCCAGTTCCAACCCCTGCCACGGGCAGGGACCCCTTCCACTGGAGCAGCTTGCTCCAAGCCCCTGTGTCCAACCTGGCCTTGAGCACTGCCAGGGATGGGGCAGCCACAGCTTCTCTGGGCACCCTGTGCCAGCGCCTCAGCACCCTCACAGGGAAGAGCTTCTGCCAAGAGCTCAGCTCAGGCTCCCCTCGGGCAGGTTCAAGCCATTCCCCTTGGCCTGGCCCTACAGGCCCTTGTCCCAAGCCCCTCTCCAGCTTCCCTGCAGCCCCTTTAGGCACTGGAGCTGCTCTCAGGTCTCCCCTTCAGGAGCCTTCTCTTCTCCAGGCTGCCCCAGCCCAGCTCTCTCAGCCTGGCTCCAGAGCAGAGCTGCTCCAGCCCTCGCAGCATCTCCATGGCCTCCTCTGGCCTCACTCCAGCAGCTCCATATCCGTCCTGTGCTGCTGCCCCACCAGAGCATGGGGGTCAATGTGTGCTCAGGCAACACAACTGCCATGAAATCCACCTCATCTGCAGGATCCCAAGCAGGAACAGGCCCTGCTCAGCTCCCCAGTGCACCTAAAGCTCATGACAAAGGCATGAGTAAGAGGGAGAGAGACAAAAGTCCCTTTAATAGACACTAGACATGAGCCAGACAGAACGAATGCAAAAGGAGCACCCCAGCAGCGCCGAGATAAGCATCAGAGAGCTTCCAGATGCCAAGAGACGCCTGTAATCAGCATCAAAGGAGCCGAGTCCCTCATTCTCATCCATCCCAAATGCCTTCCCATCCAGGATAAAGGCATTGCCCTCATCTGGAGGCGGCTGACCTGCAGCCTGAGTCACTGAGGAGCCCCAGGGATGCTGGAGGCAGGGCCCGGCAGCAGCTCCCCTCTGGAGCCTGCCCTGGGCAGCTGCACTGCACCAAACACAGGAACCACGGGAAGGTTTTACCCCAGAGACAGAGGAGACCCCAGCAGGACAGCGTGTCTGCAGCAGCAGAGATGGAACAGAAGCTGAGCGGGCAGCAGCGGGATGCTGCTGGGCTCTGGAGCTGCTCTGAGACAAACCCATCCCTGTTTCAGAGGGATGAGGCCCCCTGTGCAGGGCAAAGAGTGTTTCCCACAGATCTATCCTTGCTGGTCAGGCCTGAGCAGAGGCAGATCCTTGTGAGGAGCAGCCAAAGGACTCTCAATTCTGTACTTACAGAGAGGAGGCCCAAAGAGCACCGTGTCCAGAGCCTTGAGCTGCAGCTTCTGCCTGTGGCTTCGATCTGTCATTTTCAGCACGCTGCCCATCATGGTGGCGTTGTTCACTGCCAGCCTGGAGAGGAGGCAGAGAGGAAAGCAGGGTTGGCCGTGTCCATTTGGATTAACAACTGAGCAAGCCTTAGTAACACGAGGTTATGGGAGGAGAAACGCCATGAGCAGGACCTGACAGCTCCCTGCTCAGCCTGCCAGAACGAAAGGAATCACTCAGATACCGGCACCTCCGACACAGGATCTCTCATGAAAGAGATCAGCAGCAGTGTCCTTGGCTTCACATGGAGAAAGGAGGAAAACCCAAGGCCCCCTGTGTTTCACTGACAACTCAGGTCCTGATTCCTCACCAAAACTGATCTGTTGCTGTCCAATCCCAGATATTATTGTTCTTAACCAACGCTCTGTTGCTAGCCCCTGACATCTTCCACAGACCATAAACCCACACTTCTCACATGGAAGAACTGTTGGGGCACACCATGTACTGCCTCAAAACCCACCTTCCCTCTCAGTTTATAAGCCCCTTTTCAGTGACAATAACCTTTACCCATAGAGATGGACTGAACTCTTTGGTTTAAGCCATCTCATTCGCTTGAGGAACACAAGGCTTAGGTCTCCTTTGCTGGAGAACAAGGGGCATGGATTCCCACCACCACACACCAGTGCTGCAGAGGTCCATAACCAGTAACCCTTGAACTGGGAATGTAAATGCTGCTTGGCTAACACCCCGAAAGTGAAGTTCCAACCCCTGTCATGGGCAGGGACCCCTTCCACTGGAGCAGCTTGCTCCAAGCCCCTGTGTCCAACTTGGCCTTGAGCACTGCCAGGGATGGGGCAGCCACAGCTTCTCTGGGCAAGTGCAGCCTCTCCCTTCACCCACAGCAGGTACATGCTCACCCAAGGATAAATCTCTCCCTGCAGAGGACCACAGCAAAGGAGAAGCATCCAAAGGTAACTGGAGTGGAGCAGGAGTGACACTCGGCTCTATGGTGCCATCAGATGGGATGTTACGAGCCGCCTCAGCTCTGGTTTATTCCCTGGCACCATCCCAGAGGAACACAGGACAACGTGGGGAGCACTGACCTGGGCATGGCATGTCCACTCAGCTGCAGCTTTCGGAAGGTCTCTTCGTACTGTGGCAGCTCCACGTAGGTGATGAGCCACTGAACCACCTCGTCCACGGTCCAGTTGTACACTGCACGAGAGGCAGGGAACAAGCTTAGTGTTTTAGTGAGCAACTGAAGTCATCACATCAGCAACAAGAGCACAACATCAGCTGCACAGCTCATCCTGTCACCGGCAGCAAAGCAGCACCAGAGTTCAGTATCAGCTGGAAGGGACCTAAAAGCTCATCCATAGAATCATAGGATAGTTCGGGTTGGAAAGGACCTTAAGACCATCCAGTTCCAACCCCCTGCCATGGGCAGGGACACCTCACACTAAACCATGGCACCCAAGGCCTCGTCCAACCTGGCCTTGAACACTGCCAGGGATGGAGCATTCACAACCTCCCTGGGCACCCATTCCAGTGCCTCAGCACCCTCACAGGGAAGAAGTCCCTCCTTAGATCCAATCTAAACTCCCCCTGTTTCAGTTTTAACCCATCACCCCTTGTCCTATCACTGCAGTCCCTAATGAAGAGTCCCTCCCCAGCATCCCTATAGGCCCCCTTCAGACACTGGAAGACCCCCCTGCCACAGGCAGGGACACCCTCCACTAGAGCAGGCTGCTCCCAGCCCTGATGCTTAAACACATTCCTATTGAGCACGCACTGAGCTGGATCGAGGTATTAAATCCTATGGACTATTAGCCAAGAAATAATCCCCCTGGGATGCTGCAGGCAATCCTGCAGCTCCTCAGCCCCTGTGTGGTGGCTGGTGTGATCACTTCTGGGAGTCTGTCCTGTGCACAACAGGCTGCTACAGGTTCAGGAAGACACGATGGGCTGCAACACGTTTACCCTTAGGAGACAGCACCAAGGAAGGTAAAGGATGGGTGTGTTCCCACAGCAGCCTCTGACAACAAAGGCTTCATGGAGCTTGGTTTTACATTGTGCTTCCAGCTCAGGAAAGAATAAACCAGGCCATGAGGCCACCAGCCAAAGGAGCGAGCACAGGGAGTGCCTCCTGGCACCCTTCACAGTGTCTCAGAATCATGGAATGGGTTGGGATGAAGGGACCTTAAAGCCCATCCATTCCCAACCCCTGCCATAGACAGGGACCCCTTCCACTGGAGCAGCTTGCTCCAAGCCCCTGTGTCCAACCTGGCCTTGAGCACTGCCAGGGATGGGGCAGCCACAGCTTCTCTGGGCACCCTGTGCCAGCGCCTCAGCACCCTCACAGGGAAGAGCTTCTGCCTAAGAGCTCAGCTCAGTCTCCCCTCGGGCAGGTTCAAGCCATTCCCCTTGGCCTGGCCCTACAGGCACTTGTCCCAAGCCCCTGTCCAGCTTTGTGTGGCCACAAGGAAGCTGTCAGAGCAGGAGCAGGCCAGGGTTCCCTGGGAGCAGCACTGCCAGCAGGGAGCCCAGCGGGATAAGAGCCCTGCAGGGCACGAGGCCAGAGCATGCGGCCACCGCAGGCCCTGTCCCTGCCCAGGGAGCAGCCTCCAGCTGCAGTGGGAACGGTGCCCATGGGGGCAGGACTCAAGGAGGCTCTGCAGAGCCCTCTGGGCAGGGCTGCTCCCTAGAGCTCCCCATGGAGATCCCTGCCTGCACAGGAGCAGTGCAGGCACCGCTGCTGCCCGTGCCCCCCAGACCTGCCAGGGTGTCCCCAGCACCGCCAGTGACTCCAGGTTTGTCCCTCAGGGTCCCTCCATCTCTCCATGCCAACAGCCACCTCTTGGCTTTGCACACACCCCCAGGACCCTCGGAAGCCTTCAACTTCTCCCTCTTTTTGGCCCTCCATCCCCCTGGGAAACAAGCTGGTGGCATCAGCATCATCTACTGCAAAGCTGAGCAGCTCCTGTGCCCTGCATCCTGTGCCATGATCCCATCCGCTGCTCCGGTGGAGAGCCCTGGGCTTTATCTGTCAAGTCCTACACTTATGTGAGCATCAGGACTTTGTGTTCCTGGACACGCAGGGGCAGAAAGCACTTCCCACTTTCCGTGTGTGCCCAGGAACCACAACAGGAGGCAGGAAAAGCGCCTGGCTTGAAACCAGCTGACACAGGCACCACCCCTGGCTCCCGTCCCCATCAGCCCCCGGTGCCCTCTCAGAGCTGCTCTCACAGCCACATCCGGAGCAGACCTCTTCTCCAAGCCCAACCCTACCAGGTCTTGGAGTTCAAACCCCAGCACTGGCTCCGTACGGGGCCATCCCTTGGGAAGCAGTAACTTGATTCATCAGTGCATGTGCAGAGTGCAGGAAGGGAGAGCCAGAGCAGGAACCAGATCCAAACACAAGGAAAACCGTTAAGGGCACAGAGACGTGCCAGGTCCCGTGTGTGTCACAACAGGGAGAGAGCAAAAGCAGCTCAGCAAGTAAGAGACCTGGGAACTATCATGGGATGTTCTCCCACCTCCCTTAATGGTTTCTGCCCTTTCCCAGCCGAGATCCAGACAAACTGCAGGCATAAGCCAACCATAAGCAGCTGCACAATGGAATAACCATCAGCAGAAGCTCTTCCCTGGGAGGGTGCTGAGGCGCTGGCACAGGGTGCCCAGAGAAGCTGTGGCTGCCCCATCCCTGGCAGTGCTCAAGGCCAGGTTGGACACAGGGGCTTGGAGCAAGCTGCTCCAGTGGAAGGGGTCCCTGCCCGTGGCAGGGGTTGGGGCTGGATGGGCTTTAAGGTCCCTTCAACACAAACCATTCCATGATCCTTTTCCTGACACCTTCCTGGTGCCTGCACACACCCATCAGTGCAGGAGCTCCGTGCATGGGGCAGCCTGCAGCAGCCAGGGAACAATCAGTGAACATTAAAGCTCCTTCCAACATTGAGAAGTTTGAGGAAGTTCCCAACCAATGGCTCAGCTCCCACAGGTGAACCCACCAGGATGGATAACGCCAATTCTTAACAGCCTGCTCTTAACAGAGAACCAAGGAAGGGTTTGGGATGGGAAGGACCTTGACATCATCCACTTCCAAGCGCCTGCCATGGGCTTAGTTCTGCATCGCATGGGTTTGTGTCCACTTCCAGGCTTCGGACTTTACTCCCCTTCTCTTCACCAGGTTAATCATAGAACAGTTCGGGTTGGAAAGGACCTCAAGATCCTCCAGTTCCAACCCCTGTCATGGGCAGGGACACCTTGCTCTAAAAAAGGAGCTTTTCAGGTTCAGCAAACTCCTCCTGAGGAAACCATGATGTGCACGAGAGCGCCCACACAGCTCTGCGGACACTGAGGATGCTGCTACCCCAGAGCCACCTGAATGTGGGTGTTTGGGTACTTGGGGCTGTTCAGCCTGGAGAAGAGAAGCTGCGTGGAGACCTCAGAGCAGCTTCCAGTGTCTGAAGGGGGCCTATAGGGATGCTGGGGAGGGACTCTTCATTAGGGACTGCAGTGATAGGACAAGGGGTAATGGGTTCAAACTGAAACAGGGGAAGTTTAGATTGGATCTAAGGAGGAAATTCTTCCCTGTGAGGGTGCTGAGGCACTGGAATGGGTGCCCAGGGAGGTTGTGAATGCTCCATCCCTGGCAGTGTTCAAGGCCAGGCTGGACAGACCCTTGGGTGCCATGGTTTAGAGTGAGGTGTCCCTGCCCATGGCAGGGGGTTGGAACTGGGTGATCTTCAGGTCCTTTCCAAGCCTAACTATCCTATGATCCTAATCAAGCCCTGTCTGGAGCCCCTCTGGGTGAAGGAGGTGAGAAAGGGGGGAGGGAGGAAATGAACTTAGGAGGTGCTGATGTGTTTGTGGGAGCAGTGAGAGCAGCTCCCCGCGGGCAGGGGCACCTCTCAGTGGGGCAGCGACGGGTCCTGTCCTCACCCCACCTCCAGTGCTGCTGTGCTGCTTGGGGAGGTTTCCTCTGGACCACACTGGTTCCTGAGGACCTGGGCTCCGTGCTCTGTGGGCAATCCGGTTCTCCTGGTTGTTTTCTTGCTTGTTTTAACTTGTTGGGCCGCTAAAAGGAGGAGGTGGAAAGGGACTTGTGGGGACACTGAGGGCACCTGCGCTGCAGGAGGGGTTCTATGAGGCTTGGCTCGCGGCAGTGGGTGCAGGCAGTGGGACATGGGAACTCCTGGCTCTAATCCCACCTCTGGGGTTTCTCCTCTTGGGAAGGGAGAGAAAACACCTTGTGCTCTGTGCCTTGCTGAGGGTGCTCTCAGCCCTCGGAGGTTGTCATTTGGAAGCTGTGTGTTGAGCTGCATGGCTGCTCCTGTGCCGTCGTGGTGGGGTGGGGATCTTCATGGAATCATAGACTCATGGAATGGGTTGGGATAAAGGGACCTTAAAGCTCATCCAGCTCCAACCCTGCCACAGGCAGGGACCCCTTCCACTGGAGCAGCTTGCTCCAAGCCCCTGTGTCCAACCTGGCCTTGAGCACTGCCAGGGATGGGGCAGCCACAGCTTCTCTGGGCACCCTGTGCCAGCGCCTCAGCACCCTCACAGGGAAGAGCTTCTGCCTAAGAGCTCAGCTCAGGCTCCCCTCGGGCAGGTTCAAGCCCTTCCCTGGGTTCCATTCCTGCCCTGGGTAAGGGAGAAGGCAGGCAGCTCCTGCAGGGCAGCCGGTGCCGGTCGGCTCGTGACCGGGAGGGGACGTGGCAATGTCATCCAGCTCCAGGCCCCGCCGCAGCCGGGGATCAGCTGCTGCTCTGTATATTTAGCTCAGAGCACAGGAGGGAAAAGTGATCTCCTGCAGCTCCCCTCCAGCCCAGGATCTCCACACCAAACCCCAAGGACTCGGCGGAGGGGACGGTGCTGCTGTGCGGGAGCATCGCTGTCAGCAGGCGGGGAGGAGGATGCAGGCTGGGCCATGGCCTCCTTCCAGGAGCTGCTCGTGGATGGGGCTGCACAGCAAGGACCCCTTAGAAACTGATCTCCCTTAGGATGTGTTGGAGCACATCCAGAGGGGGGCACGGAGCTGCTGCGAGGGCTGGGCTGGGGCAGCCTGGAGAAGAGAAGGCTCCTGAAGGGGAGACCTCAGAGCAGCTCCAGTGCCTAAAGGGGCTGCAGGGAACATGGAGAGGGGCTTGGGACAAGGGCCTGTAGGGACAGGCCAAGGGGAATGGCTTGAACCTGCCCGAGGGGAGACTGAGCTGAGCTCTTAGGCAGAAGCTCTTCCCTGTGAGGGTGCTGAGGCGCTGGCACAGGGTGCCCAGAGAAGCTGTGGCTGCCCCATCCCTGGCAGTGCTCAAGGCCAGGTTGGACACAGGGGCTTGGAGCAAGCTGCTCCAGTGGAAGGGGTCCCTGCCCGTGGCAGGGGTTGGGAATGGAGGAGCTTTAAGGTCCCTTCAGCTCCGATCACTCCAGGACTCTGCTCCAATGCAAACTCCTGTCTCCAAGTGCTCTCTCTCGAACGTACCTGACCCCAGGTTGAGAGGAGCCAGGGCCTGATGGAGCAGCAGCATAAACTGTGTTTCCTTAGCAAACCAGGCCAACAACACCCGAGGACTCCTCGGGATGTGCCTCCACCAGAGTTGCCCCTACAGTGCTGGAGCTGCCTTTGGAGTGAGCGTGGAGCAGAAATAGAGCAGTAATTAGGAGAGGTCCCCACCAGGGACTGGGCTTTGCTTTAATTGAGGTCACTGCTGTCATCTGGAACTCCACTGAACACCCATTTCCAGAGAGGAAAAGGCAGGGATGGGTTAAGGGCAGCATGAGGCTCTTGGGTGAAAGCCACCCACAGTTAGAGCACTTTGAAACCACCCTTTGTTTCTGTCTGCCTCTTTCTGCCCTGTCAGGACTTCAAAACACAGCCAAATCCTGCTCCCAAAAGGCCAAACTCATAAAGGTGAATACAGAGCTCCCAATGGAGCAAGGAAACCCTAGGATGGGAGTAAAGAGGTCACTCTGGCACTGAGCCCCCCTGTGCTCCAGGGCAGAGCCCACAGGCCATGGATGGGAGCTCTGGCCTGTGCATCCAGGACCAACATCTGTGAGAGCCACAGGCTCTGCTGAAGCCTCCATCTGCTTCTGAGGAAGAGCTCCAAAACACAAGCTCCAAAATGACCTCGGCCTCATCCTCCAGAGAGGGAACTGCTTTTTCCTCCTTTTATTGGAGTAATTGATGGAAGATGAAGAGAAAGGAAAGAGCAGAGCAGTGCGGTTTAGCAGGGGCCTCATCCAACCCAGCTCAACATCTGGGCAAGAGGGACCTCATCCAACCCAGCTCAACATCTGGGCAAGAGGGACCTCATCCAACCCAGCTCAACATCTGGGCAAGAGGGACCTCATCCAACCCAGCTCAACATCTGGGCAAGAGGCAACTCATCCAACCCAGCTCAACACCTGGGCAAGAGGGACCTCATCCAACCCAGCTCAACATCTGGGCAAGAGGCAACTCATCCAACCCAGCTCAACATCTGGGCAAGATCAGTCACTTACACACTGTGTTCTGGAGCTATGTTAAGACGTTTGTTTGCTGTGTTCTGGTGCAGATCCACATATTAACAAATCAAGTCAATCCCAAGCACATCACCCTACACTGAAGGGACACAGCCACTGCTCCCACCCCTGCTGCTGTGGTGGCACCAGCACTGTGCCACAGCACACTCCTTCCCAGGTCACTGTCTGCATGGTTCTCCAAAAGGTTTATGGAAATCAAGGGTGAAATCCCATCCTCTGCACCCACTCCCAAGGTGGGAGCTCTGCCCATTGAAAGGGTGCAGGAAGATTAAGCATAACCTGCCCAAGAGGAGACTGAGCTGAGCTCTTAGGCAGAAGCTCTTCCCTGTGAGGGTGCTGAGGCGCTGGCACAGGGTGCCCAGAGAAGCTGTGGCTGCCCCATCCCTGGCAGTGCTCAAGGCCAGGTTGGACACAGGGGTTTGGAGCAAGCTGCTCCAGTGGAAGGGGTTGGAGCTGGAGGAGCTTTAAGGTCCCTTGAACACAAACCAGGCTGGGATTCCATGATAACGCACACAGCAATACTGGAGGAGAGCTGCTGGGTCCAAGACAAGCGATGCACAGGGCCTGGCCATGGTCTGATCCATCTCTGAGGGGTCTGAGCACTGACTGTAATGGCACCAGGGCCTCCTGAAGCCTTTCAGAGGAACAGATTTTATGACTCCCACAGTGGCAATATCTGCACATAAAAGGGCCTGAGGGTACAACAGCTCCGAGGAGTTAATCCTGTTAGTGCTTGTGCAACAGCCCTCAATGGGTGCACTGAGAGAGGCAAGAGCTGCTGAGAGAGACATAAACCTGCTCCTTAGGGCCTGCCCCTAACACCTGACCATCCTCACTCTGGTAACGGGTGAGCAGGATACCTGGAGGGAGCAGATGTCCCTGGGGCTGTCCCAGGAGCCAGTGGCAGCAGTGGAGCTGCAGCTCCCAAGCCATGGAGCCCGGAGCTGCTCCATAGGAAACACCAGACTTAAGGGACTGCAACTGAAAGCCTTTCATTTGGTTTAACTGCTCCATGAAGAGGGATTTAGGCAGAGGGAATGGAATGCACCCTGGGAGCAGGCAGCCCTGGGAGCAGCTCAGCAGGGTGCTGAGCTCCAGGCTGCTGGCTCTGGAGCAGCCCTGGAGACTGGCACCATCCCAGAACCCAAAGCGCCCTTGTGACAGCTTCATTTGCCCCATAACTCAACTGCTGCATCGGCCTGGGTGGGAGATTCTACCTCCTGGAGGGTGGTTGCCTTATCTGGGAAGCAGGAACACCATGCCCTGGGGAAGGGCTCCGCATGGACAGGATGCTGTGTGGTTCTCATGGACAGCGCGGTGCCCGCCCTGGGCCTTCAGTCATGAGGGAAAACAGGAGCCTTTTGGTCCAGGAGCAGCAGGACAGGCTCTTGTACCTTCCTGACCCCACGGAGATGCTGCCAGAGTCTCCCACAAGCCATGCAGGCTGTGCAGCACTGTCCCCATCAGGCCAAGGCCTGGGGTGCCAAGGGCACATGAGCAGAGCTCCAAAGGGTGGCACCGGTGGCTGTCAACCACCACCCTCCTCTGGGGAGGGAAGCAGCTCAGCACCAGCCCCGGCTCAGCAGCTCCTGGCTCACTCCCCACTGGGGCCAAGAATAAACACAGGAGGGACGTGGAGCTGCTGGAGTGAGGCCAGAGGAGGCCATGGAGCTGCTGCGAGGGCTGGAGCAGCTCTGCTCTGGAGCCAGGCTGAGAGAGCTGGGCTGGGGCAGCCTGGAGAAGAGAAGGCTCCTGAAGGGGAGACCTGAGAGCAGCTCCAGTGCCTAAAGGGGCTGCAGGGAACCTGGAGAGGGGCTTGGGACAAGGGCCTGTAGGGACAGGCCAAGGGGAATGGCTTGAACCTGCCCGAGGAGAGACTGAGCTGAGCTCTTAGGCAGAAGCTCTTCCCTGTGAGGGTGCTGAGGCGCTGGCACAGGGTGCCCAGAGAAGCTGTGGCTGCCCCATCCCTGGCAGTGCTCAAGGCCAGGTTGGACACAGGGGCTTGGAGCAAGCTGCTCTATGGAAGGGGTCCCTGCCCGTGCAGGGGTTGGGAATGGAGGAGCTTTAAGGTCCCTTCCAACCTAAACCACTCCATGATTCTATACCTTGCGTGCAGGAACAGATTAAGTGTTGAGAAACCCCCAAACTGAGGCAAAGCCACGCACTGAAGATCACAGTTGTGAAATACACTGCTCGGATCAGAAACCTGGCACACTGCTGCCTCTGCCCGGGAACAGAGCAGAGCCAGGAGCCTGAACCCTCACTCCTCAAGTGCAGGCATCACCCCTGAGAGCAGCCCCCCAGGAGCAGCGCTGGGGCAGGCCACGCAGCACTGAGCACGTACCTCATCGCTCTCCTCGACGTCCACGTTGCCGTTGGCATCGTCATCCATCTGCTTGTGGATGTTGCGGACGGCCTCGAAGCTGAGCTGCTCGTCCTCATCGTGGCACAGGGGCTTGTCAATGCGGCAGAACTCTGCTGAGGAACAGAACCCTGTCAGGCACCTGGGTACCCAACCCAGCCCGCCCCAATGCTTGGGCTCAGCAGCCCTGGCTGAGCAGCACACAGAGCACAGCCCCTGGCACAAAGGGCTGGGCATGGCCCCAGCTCAACCCCTTCAGCCTTGGTGCTCCGAGGACAGGTCCCTGCCAGGCTGCTCCTGCCCACACCATGTCCATTGATGTCCTGGAGGAGGTAAGGGGGGGCTGCACCTCGAATTCACCTCCCATGTCATGACCTGCACTTCTCCCTTGGACGCTGTTAGCGTAGGCACAGCATCCCTGAGGACACTGGGAGAGCGAGAGCTCCATGTTTATACAACGTCAATGGAAGAAGTCTCCCCCTCCTGTTACAAATGGAACTTTCTGGCTTCCTTCCACGTTTTTCTCCATTTCATTCCTCACACTTCAAATCCTGCCACATGCCCGGGTCCATGTCAGCACCGCCGTGATCACATCCTTCCTATGGCACTGCCGCATGGTGAGCTGTGACCCGGTGCAACGGCACAGCAGGGATGCAGAGACAACAGCCAAGGTGCCAGGAACTGAAAACATCCCTCAAAGCGGAGCTCCTTGGGTAACACACAGCAAGAAACCCCCTTGTGATTCACATCAGGGCAAGGATCAAGAACCGTCCCTGGTGTCAGCTGCTTGCCAATGACAGGCGCCGCTGATAAGGCACCTGGGAGACATTTACCATGGAAACACTGCCCTGCACTTGGGCTACAACAGCCCCCTGCACCCCTCCTGGCTTGGGGAATTGGGGCTGAAAGGGACCTGGGGGTGCTGGCTGATGGGGCTGAACGTGAGCAGCTTGTGCCCAGGCAGCCCCCAGCATCCTGGCCTGTACCAGCACCAGTGCAGCAGCAGGGCCAGGGCAGGGATTGTGCCCCTGCACTGGGCACTGGTGAGGCCGCACCTCGGATCCTGTGCTCAGCTCTGGGCCCCTCACTGCAGGAGAGACATTGAGGGGCTGGAGCGGGGCCAGGGAACCTGACTGGCTCCATGATGCACAGAGCTCCACACCAATCCATGCCTGTCTGTATGGCCAGGAGAGCCCAGCAGCCCTAGAAACCACTGACCCAAACCCATGCGGGAGCTGAGAACGCTCCTCCTGGGTCACTGAGAATCACAAAATGAACCAGGTTGGAAAAGGCCTTTAAGATCACCCAGTGCAACCACTGCCCCAGCACTGCCAAGCCACCACTAACCCATGGCACCCATCCACACTCCCAGCCAGCCCAGCTCTCCATGGGATGCTGGTGGAGATAAGGACACCTGGACTCATGGAACCTGGGGAAAAGAGCTGGAATAGCAACAGGGAGGGACTGAAGGAGAAGGCAGGAACAACACTGTGATGGACAGGGCTGCAGGGTTTCCCTGCTCAGGCGTGCCAGGAAGCCTCTGCTCCTCCATCACAGCTCTGGATGCAGCCGGTGGTGGAAGGGTGGCTGACGGCACTGCCCGGTGCTGTCCATGGCACCAACAGGGTGAAGGCATCTTCTGCCTGTGCAATAGCTCCAATTGGCAAGGAGGGGAACCTGGCAGAATTACCTGAAACACCACTGCCTGCCCAGCACACCTTTGGTTTCCCTCTCCTGCCCTGCCCAGATCAGCTCAGCTGGGCTCATCGGGCTGGGCCTCTCTGCAGTGAGTTCTCCTGCTGATCTCAATGGCACAGAGCAGGAGCACAGGATGCTCCTGGTATTTACCCTGCCTTTGGGCTGGGTTTCACAAGGCACAGTGAAATCAGGCTAAAAGATACCTCCCAAAACACCCGCTGATCATCTTGTTCTCGGCCTGTGCTTATTATTACAGCAACGCTCTGGCAAGGGTCACATTCTGAGCAGGAAACGTCATGTTATGCTAAGACATGAGTGGTTTCTGGATGTTAACACCCTTGTAGCCACGTAGCCCCAAACCACATCCATCCAAGCGCCCATCAGCGTTCAGGCCACGGGACACATGGGCTGAGGTGATCTCAGCAGGTTTCATGCAACCACAAGGCCAACCGGTGGGGATCTGTGATACAAGGCAGCAGAAGGAGCAATAAAGCCATGGTTGCCCGTGTTGATAAGCAAGCATACTCACAGCTATGGAGTGAGTAAACAGGGAGGAATGTCTGCATCAAGGCCAGGGCAAGCCTGAGCCCCTGCCCTGATAACAGAACGGCCCTGAGGGTGCTCCAGGCAGCATGGGCACCCTGTTATCTCAAGGGGAACACAGGATGCAGTTGTGACATCCCCCAAATGAAACAAAGAGCAGGGCCAGCATCTTGCCTAAGGGTTATTAACCCAGGAGCCTGTGCCACAGTAACCACTGAAGGGACACAAAAAAGCCCTATTCAAGTGCCAGGTCCCCTCTTGGGTTGATAACGATGGCTTCATGGCCAGCAAGTCCTGCCCTCCACCTCACACACAGGAACACCCCAACCCCACATGAGGCCCTTCCAACACAGCCCTGGCACCTGCACCAAGTGCAAGCCTTGAAGCGAGTGTGCCACTGGTGTGAAGGATGCTGCTCCTCCTCCAGAGAGCCCTAGCACAGCACTGATGGTTGCTACAGCAGCTTCTCTGGTCCTCATCACTTGTCCCAGCTTGCTCCTCAAGTGTCAGAGCACAGGGGGAGCCCAGGGCCCCTCAGGAGCTGACACCATCAGCTCTCCTCCACCCTCCCACCCCAGGGCCCCTCAGGAGCTGACACCATCAGCTCTCCTCCACCCTCCCACCCCACCTTCTGACTCATCAGGAGTCTTTTGTTTCCTCATCCTGCTGCTTGGTGCCTCCAGGCCTGTCCTTCATCCCCCTCCATCATCTCTTCATAGCTGCGGTCCATCCTTCCCTTCAGAACAAAAGGACATTTGCCCTCCCCTGGGGTGTCCCGATAAGGAGCACTAACCTGGGCACTATCAGCACATGCCATCTGTACATCCCTTCCCCTGCCATTGTTCCCCATTCACACGGACCCACCTTCACCCCTCCGGGCTACATCCACACACAAAAGCTCTGCAATCACCTATGCAATCTCCTGCAAGCAGCTGCTGAAGGTGCCACCACCTGAGACCATCAACAGGCACACGGGCAAAGCTGGGGTGACATTGGAATCATAGCATCATGGAATGGTTGGGATGAAGGGGCCTTAAAGCTGATTCAGTTCCAACCCCTGCCACGGGCAGGGACCCCTTCCACTGGAGCAGCTTGCTCCAAGCCCCTGTGTCCAACCTGGCCTTGAGCACTGCCAGGGATGGGGCAGCCCCAGTGCAGCCTGTTCCATGCTGGATATGATCATGGAGCTGGGTCTGCAGCAGGCAGGTCCTGTTCCATGCTGGATATGATCATGGAGCTGGGTCTGCAGCAGGCAGGTCCTGTTCCATGCTGGATATGATCATGGAGCTGGGTCTGCAGCAGGCAGGTCCTGTTCCATGTGGATATGATCATGGAGTTGGGTCTGCAGCACAGGTCCTGTTCCATGTGGAATGATCATGAGTTGGGTCTGCAGCAGGCAGGTCCTGTCCACAAACAACCCACACACCCCACAAACAACCCACACACCCCACAAACAAGCAGCAGGCAGGTCCTGTTCCATGCTGGATATGATCATGGAGCTGGGTCTGCAGCAGGCAGGTCCTGTTCCATGCTGGATATGATCATGGAGCTGGGTCTGCAGCAGGCAGGTCCTGTTCCATGCTGGATATGATCATGGAGCTGCGTCTGCAGCAGGCAGGTAAAGGGCAATCCCCTCAAGTCACCAGTTCTCCACTCAGGGCCCTGCAAACAGCTTCTGAGGCAGAGATGCACGGTTCCTCCCCAGTAACCCAACCAGAAACCTTCACCCATCACATCAGCTGCGGCAGGAGTTCAGAGACAGACATTGCCCTTTGAGGAAACACTTCCAGGATGCAGACACCCCCCTGCACCCACCTCAGATTCAACAGTCTAGCAAACATGTAAATACAGGCAGGGTCAGAGCCTGTCATCTCTGAGACACCCCTGAGGACAGGGACACCGCCCCTGGGCGCCTCTGCTGCAAGGTGCTACACGAAACCTTCCCAAGGCACCTAATAGGGTTCAGGGGAGGCTGTGCAGACCTTGGGGCAGACCTGCCTGCCCCGCTGTGCTGGGGGCAGCTATCACTGCTGGCAATGCACTGGTGCTGCAGGATCACCGTGACAGAGCCAGGAGAAAGCCCCCAGTGCTCCATGGGGCTCCTGGCACAGACACCCCTCGCTTCACGTCCCCACCATCAGGTGATGATGGCCACGGGCAGGAATGAAGAGGCAGTGATGCTGTAGAGCCACCAAAACCTCCAACACTTCCACAGCAGGGCCTCTCTCCTCAGCATGTGCTCGGTTTATGCACTGCAGGAGACCCGCAGCACCGGCTGCAATCAGTGCCTCCATCTCCTCCATGCACCAGCGTACTGCCTGGCCACCAATAACACTCCATCCCATCGCTTCCAAGCATCCTCATTCTTCCCACAACCAGCAGCAAAGCCCTTCTTAATCATGGAATGGGTTGGGATGAAGGGAGCTTAAAGCCCATCCAGCTCCAACCCCTTCCACGGGCAGGGACCCCTTCCACTGGAGCAGCTTGCTCCAAGCCCCTGTGTCCAACCTGGCCTTGAGCACTGCCAGGGATGGGGCAGCCACAGCTTCTCTGGGCACCCTGTGCCAGCGCCTCAGCACCCTCACAGGGAAGAGCTTCACCCTTGCTTCAATGCCCCTCTCCACCACCAGCCCCTGGTACAATCCTATGTCCATCCCCCTCCCAGCTCTCCAACCTCCCCAGAGCAGCTCTCAGCATCCTCGCTTGGGTGCTCTGCCCTCAGTGCCAACGTCACCCACTTCCTTCCTGCGAGGTTCCTGTTTGCTCCCCTCAGGCCCCGCACTGGGGAACGCTTCTGCTGGGCTGTCTAAATAAGATAGAAGCTGTTCCAGTACCACCCTGTGAGCCAGGAGGGTTTGCCCAGGGTCAGCCAGGA